TTTAACAATGTTTTTCCATGACATATGTATGTAAAAGCAGAATAAAGGACTTTTTCTTAAAACGGGTTGCAAAAGAGATTTTAAATGTATTCAGAAGAGACTTTTTCGTGGCATCTGGACGTATGTACTTCGCATAACTAAAAAATAAGTAGCCTCAGAATGTTGAAATTTTGTATATAGGACTGCTATAACATGTAGTTGTCCATCTCCCTTTTTTGTTTACAATCAGCCACACCAAAAGTATATCAGCGCTTTGTAATTTGTACCTTCTCACCAAGGAATTTCATTTCCAACAACAGTTATCTCAAATACATCGTTCTACAGATACATGGATCATATTACTGCAATCAACAACTTCAATAAAATAGAATACGATCACATCTATCGTTTATGTTTGAAACTCAATAAAACTAATTAAGATTGTTGTTTGTCTTCTGAATCAATAAAACTAACTTTCAACAAGGAGATATTAATTACCTAGATTTGCAAAATTTATGACAAAAGAAGAGATTTTGATTTCCCTACCATAAAACTCATCCATTGGCACTCCAATATCTCTACAAAAGTATTACTTAATACCATGCAAATTCAACTCCTTAGAATAAAAAATATTTGCAACAGTGTTGAATACTTACAAGAAGAAATCACTAACTTAGTCAAAATTCTCTTGCAGAATAAAACACCTCTATTCTAAATTTCTATAACTCTAAAGAAAGCTGGTATTAACTATTTTTTTTAAATTTCTCATCTAAAGTAATATGATAATTATTACTTAAACCGTAATTGGAGGTAATAGTTGGATGACTATGATAAGAAATTTAAAGTAAATATGTGCAAAGATCTTGTTTCTTTCCCCTTTCAATTATTATTTATATTATCTTTCTATTATTTTGTAAATTTAGTAACTGGTAAATCTTCTAGCTTTTACTAAAAAAAATGGGGCTTCTAATTTCAAAGACGTTTTTGTACCCTGATTACATGCAGATTTTTATCTTTTAATAACATATATTTTTCCTTTTCCTCATCTTTAAGCCCGTTAAATCCTCTCGCATTTTAAGATTTTACAGAAGACAACAGCTTTTAGAAGTTCCGCCAATTTGGAGTCGACGATATTCTTCTCATATTGTAGGTAATAATTTTTACAGACCATGCCCAATGTCTGGCACCCCCACACACAGAGTTTAAAAGGCTAAGGCATTTTGAATACATGTTTAAATACTTAGTTCTGCCATTGAACACTTTGGACCTTATTGCATACTTTTTCCAAGAACTATAAATTTGATTCTTTTTTCGGTGTTTGATCTCATATGAACCAGGAGAATGAAACACGTTTTCAAAACATATTAACCGACTTAAATGAAGCTATAATTAATTTTCCTCTGATGAGTTCCGAATTGGAGTTTCAGTAATAGGAGATTAATTTTTATATTTTTGCATTATTTTGCATATTTTTCCCTTGCTTTTCTCTTTGCATTTTTATTTTTCCAGTTTGTACTATTATGAATTCTTTTTTAAATTTTGATTTCTTTAGATATTGTGTTAAACCTCTTATGCGTGGTTGCAATTGTTAATATTATTGAGGAATTGCCTTGTCTCTAATTTACTTTGAACTTTAGATGCTTTAAGTTTATTTTACTTCAATCCTGCAGCTAGTGTAGAATGGGTATAAAAATTTGGTTTTTAATTTTTAGTCTCTTAGTTGGTTTCTTTATGTACTTATACATATATATATGTACGTATATGTATATTCCCTCTATTATTTGGCTCTGCGAGTTCAGTTTTTTTAAAAATTATTATTATTATTATGTGTTGGTAAATTGTGCATATTGTGCATTTTTTGCTTTTAAAAAAATTGAATTGTATTGTTCTTATCTTTCAGTTAAAGATTTTATGCCTTTAGTTAATCTGCATACAATAGTTGTAGAATTATTAAGAATTTAGAAGTTGTTTAAGTGTTCCTAAACCTAATTTTTTTTTTTTTTTAACCATAGCTGCTGTATTTGCTTACATTTGAAACTTGGCAGAGTGGTATTTTAAGTCGGCTACTGTACCCTCAGTATCTTTTTGCCGAGTGGGACCAAAAGTAAACTTTCTGTTTTGTGCACCGAAAAATCTGCCTTTCTTGCCCGCTGGCCGAATTGCTTGTTTTTGCGTGGAAACTCTAATTTTAATTGTAAAAATTATTTTTTAATTGTTTTAACTATATTTGGTATTTTATAATTTTAATAAAGATATTTTGAAGTTTTATGTATTTTTGCCTTGCCACGAACTGAATTAATTGAATGAGAACTGTATTTCTAATGAAATTCAAAGAAATAAGTTTAAAAGAAATGCAGCAAAAAATTCGTATAATTTAATATTCCATGCAAGGAAGTCATATGGTGTACACATCAGATTTGTATGTTAAAAGCGTTTGCTGATACTTTTGTGCAGTTTGTTAGTCTTGAATAGCATTTCATTTGTTGAGGGTATTCTGCTTTTCTCTTTGACTTTTGATTTGAATAAATTCACTTCTGTTGCTTGTCTTGTTCATCATTCTGAAATGTACTTATGCAATAAGATTTGACTATTAATGAAAATAAATTCAACATACATTCATAATGATTTTAAGCTTTTAGCATGTGCGAGTTAAGAAATTCTTACTTCGCAAATATGTGCGATATTTGTCTGTGGTAAATATATAATGTGAGCTGCCTTCGTTTTCAATTAATGTGGTGCGTAACTGGAATGCTCGCTGATGATAATCAGAAGGTTAATAGTCAAAATACAAAAAGTATACCTAAAATTAGAAAACAGCTGCATATATTATGCTGGCCATTATAGTCATTTAAAAATTATCTTGTTGAATACTATAATGTATTTTTTCTGTAAAGATTTTTACTAGCATGTTAAGATATGGTTCTTTTAAAAAGGATTAAATCTAAAATATGAGGAATATTTACTCCTCAGTAATATTTAAGAAATAATGTGATACTACTTATAGAGATATTTGCTGTAACAGGATATATTCCTATTAAGAAGGCAACACTTGACTAATATCATACCTATTTTGCATAATTTTGGATAAAGTTAATGTGAAATGTAAAACAAAAAAAAAAAAAAAAAAAAAAAAAAGCAGGAAAACTGCAACTAAATATTTAAGGCAGTAAGTTCATCTATTTGCTCGAGTTCTTAATTGTATTTGTGTGTGAGTGAATGCAATAGTTGCTGTACAGCTTTTTATTTTCACTACTAGTGGTCATAGACAAATACTTCCCATCACAAGATTGTTTTAAATCAAGCAATGATTCATGATTTCACATGTTAGAATTTAAAGGTATATGTTTTGTAAAAATTATGAAATTAACTTTTTATAATTTCTGTTGGTCTCTATACTTATGTTTAGGGAAATATTGTATTCTTTGTAAAAAAATAAAACCTAAAAATTCTGATTTTGTTATAACTCTGCAACTTAATTTCAGAATTTATTTCTGATGTCATTTTCAATTTGCATTGAAAGGGGAGTCAGTTAGTAAATGGTTCCTATAATTCAAAGTTAATTTTTTATATTAAATGCCATTCAAGGATGTTTGTTTGTGATTTACTAGTATCTTTAATTTATAACTTTTTTACATTTGGTAGGCCAAAGAAATTTTCACACAGGTAATTTATAAGTTTTCAATCTTGAAAATATGTTGTTTCATTGCTGCTTATATTCTTATAAAATTTTATTGCTTTAGAATTAATCTCACAGAAATATACAAAAATTCTGTTAAGCTGCAAATATTTTTCATTTTTTATTGTTTCAAATAATATTACAAGTTGGTCGCATGCCACTAAAGAAGCCTGCCAGTATTTTCTAGAACATGAATTCTGTTAAGATTTTGGGAATAAGATCTCCATTTGAAAAAAAAAAAAAAAAAAAGATTGATTAATATTTTTCATAATAATCTGCATAATGTTGACCATTTAATCTCTTAACATTAGAAAGCTTTTTCTAAACTGATAATTTTATTTTTAGTTAAACATTTTGCTCTTCAATTTGTGCATGGTTCCATTCCCAGTTATATTAGACTTTATTACCATATATCTTGGCCAAAATTGTTATCAATGCTTATTATATTTTGAATAAAAAAGGATGGAAATCATGAACAAAAATTTTGAAGAAAAAGTAAAGACCTAATACAGAATTCTTTTTCTGAAAACATATTTTTTATTTATATTTTAATAACCAAATGTAATTGTATTTACATTTTATATACAGTACAATGTCCGTAATCCGGCGGCGATTAGTTTTTTTTTCCTGATTATAGATCATCAATTAAATCTGGTGAGATGGCTGCAGAAATTATACAATTAAAAATATGAACCGTAATTTATACATAAAGAGCATTATGATCTAACGGGATAAAATTTTACATACAAAAAAAGCTTAATATTTATTTGTTTACTTTATTAAACAGTTCTTTCAATGCGTGCATGCGTAGAGCATACATTACGCGCATGCGTAGAGCATACATTACGCGCATGCGTAAAGCATACAAAAAAAAAGTTTGTGGCCTTTGAGGTCCGGATTATAGATCATTCCGGATAATGGACGTCCCGATTACAGACTTTGTACTGTATAATATTTGTTTTAAAATCATTCAGAACAGAATACTTCAACTGTGGGCACATAAAATACACAATGGTTTATCTCTATTTATTTTTGACTTATTTTTCTTTAGATTTTATGGATATTGTAACATATGCATTATTTTTCTTTAGATTTTATGGATATGATAACATATGCAGCAGCAAAAAGTTTTAAAATTAGCATAATTTATTTTGCTTTCATAATTACAAGGACTGCTATCTAATAGGAGAGTTTTATTATATAAAAGGTTATGATAGTATCTCTTTATGAAAAAATATGAATATTTATTAGTTTCACAAGCAGCCCAAAGTGGCTTGAAATTAAGAACAGTAAAAAACAATTAGTGCAAATATGCTTTATTAATTCATACTTTCATATTTTTTAGGATAACTGTGTGCAGTTGGAGAGTAATATAGAAACTGAATGTGACTTACTTATTGAATTAATTAATCTTAGAAAGCAACAATTAATTGATTTCATCAGGAAAGAAAGAGACTATAAAGTTAAGTCATTGAAAGAACAAGTTACTGTGTGTACTGGTAAATTACAACAGACTACTGGCCTTCTCCAATTTTGCATTGAAGCTTTAAAAGAGACTGACCCTTCAACTTTCCTACAAGTAAGTTGTTAAAGTAGGAAAGAAGACACTTAACTTAAAAAGCATTTATTTTGATGTAATTTAATATTTATGTATATAATTTCCCAAATATTGCTTAATGATAAGTATCTTTGTAGCTAGTTAACTTTTTCTCTTTGATATAAAATTCCATGGATGACTGTTGTGTTTTTACCATAATTATATAAACTCATTGTGATATCACCCCTTTCTTCATCCTCCACCTCATAGAGAAAACACTCCACCTTCTTGTATTTTTAACATTTATTGCACAAACACAAAACTAATACTAAACTACAATACTAATAACTGAAATATATAAAGTAATACAAGTTAATTTCGGTTTCATTAATGGCTCCCACGAGCCTTCCCTATGACCTCTCTGTCGGTCTCCCTCTTGGAAACTAAACTTTTGGCGCCTTCAGATTGAGAGCCAGCGCCCTCTATACATCTTGTTGGTTGGCGTCACCCATACATCACACCCCCATCCAAGATTGAAATAGGGTGAAAGCCTATTGAAATGTGACAAGTTATGGTGACGTCAAACAAAAGAATTACTTATCTACTAAAGTCTACATATCAATCAATACTGAAGTTGAAAGATATATAACACAATACTTATACAGGTTATTTCTACACCTACTACAAGACTTCTTCTAAAACTGTAACATATAAATGATTAAAAATTAGTAATCAAACAATTCTAATGCAATAGAATACTTAAAGTTTCTATGGTATACTTAAAAGTTTTCTTTGAGAGTAGCTGAAAAGAAAATACACACAAAAAAATAAAATGATAATCCTAAGAGTTCATAAATGTCTATAAAAAGTTCTTTCTTTCACACAAGTCACTCAATAGCTTCTACTCTGGACAACACATCAGCATTGCTTAACTTAGCGCCTGGGCAATGTGAAATTGTAGTATCATACTTTTGTAATGTTAAAGCCCATCTCTGTAACTTAGAAGATTGTGTGCGTTCTTTGTGATGAAAGTTAATGGATTGTGATCAGTTATCAGTTCCACAGGTGATCCCAAAACCCAAGTTTCAAACTTTTTCAAGCTCCAAATAACAGCATAAGCTTCCCTCTCGATAGTTGGCCATGCTTGTTGTGTTTTGGTTAGTTTCTGGCTGGCATAACTAATCGGGTACAACTTTCCGTTTTTCCGTTGAGATTAGCAAGCTCCAACACCTGTTGAAGATGCATCACAATGAATTATAAAAGGTAACCCTGTAACAAGGGTATAAAGATTAGGTGCTTCCATTAGGCATTTCTTTAATTTATCGAATGCTTCGTCGTGTTTTTTTTCTGTCCAGCACAGCTCTTCAGACTTCTTCTTTTGGTGAGTCGGTTAATGGATAAGCTTTTCGGCGTAATGTGGAATGTAATCTCTGTAATAATTACATAGGCCTAGAATGCTTTTCAATTGTTTTTTTGTTTGAGGTCTAGCTAATTTCTGGATAGCCTCCACTTTCTCTGGATCAGTACGATGACTGCCGGAACCAATGATATGTCCTAGATACTTAATGTGAGTTTTAGCAAATGAACATTTCTTAAGATTTATGGAAAACTTAAAATAGTTCTAACAGTTTTGAAAAAATGGTGTCAAGATGTACTAAATGTTCATTCCAACTATTTGAATAAACCCCTATGTCATCGACGTAGGCTAGAGCAAAATCTTTGTATTTAGCAAGGGCCTGGTTCATCACTCTCTGAAATGTTGCAGCGGTGTTGTGTAGCCCGAAAGGCATGACTTAAAATTGATACTGAGCTCGATGTGTCTTGAAACATGCTAATTCTTGACTTTCTCTTTCTAATGGTATGGCCCAATAGCCTTTGAGTAAATCAATAGTGGATATGACGTTGGCTTTTCCAATGTGGAATAAGAGCTGTTTAGGATTTTCCATAGGGAAGTCATCTGGTTTCGTTACTGCATTAAGGGATTTAAAGTCAATGCAAAGGCGAAGATTACCGTCTTTCTTCATAACGCATACAATAGGGTACGAAATTTCAGCGTTGGTTTCTTCAGTCAATCCCAATGACAACATTTCTTCGATTTGTTTGTCTACTTGCTGCTTCAGTGCTTCTAGGATTCGATGGCTTCCTTTGTTCAGTGTCATTTAATCTTATTTTATGTTCTACTTTGGCAATTTGTACCTTATTTATAAATAAGTTGTCATATTTTCTTAACAAATTCATCATGTCATTCCTTTTATCATCATCTAAATGGCTTAAGTCTACTTCGCTAAGATGAAAATGATCGGACTTGTCACTCACACTGGGTGTGGGATGGACTTCTCCTAGTTCTTCTTCGTTCTCAAATATTACACCTACTGCCTGTACTTTGGATTAAATTTTCTAATTTTATTTACGTGTACTCTTCTTATTGTACCATCTGTCAGTTTGACTCTGTAAGAATCTGGATTACAACGAGATACTATTTCTGCAGGTCCTGTCCATCTGGCATATAATTTATTACTGGAATCTGGAATCAGCAGGTACACTTGATCTCCAGGATTGAATTCTTTTATATATAGCCCTTCGATTAGCATATCTTGCATATGCACCTTGTTTCAATTCTGCAGTTATAGATGCTTGCTCTGCTGCTATTTCTAAATTCATTTTAGCTCCTGTAGATAATCAACAGCACTTTTACCCAATTTTATTAGTAATGGAATTTCTCCTGACCATGACAATTCTAATACTGACAACGGACCTCTGGCCTCTTCCATACATTAATTTAAATGGGGATACTCCCGTAGTCCAATTTGGAATTTCGTGGTAAGTGAATAACAGGTATGGTATGTGTTTGTCCCAATTTTTAGAGTCGTTTCTAATGATATGATGAAGCATACGTTTTAGAACTTGGTTATACCGTTCAACTAATCCCGAATTTTGTGGATGTCCTGGTGTTGCAAATCTAGGACTTGCTCCTAATCTGGCATGAAATTCTTGTGTTAATTCTGCAACAAAATTGGTACCTTGATCGCTAGCTATTACCCGAGGTATGCCCGTTCTCATAAAGATTTCTAATAATGCGTCGCATGTTGATTTTGCTGTAATTGTTCTCAAAGGGACAGCTTCTGGCCACCTAGAATGTTGGTCGACTAAACATAGTACATGTTTGTGTTTACGAGCTGATGGAGGTTCAATTGGACTGATTATATCTACATTCACTGTGTCAAATTGAAATTCAGGTCTCTGAACTGGAACTATGGGTATACGATTGGTGGTTGTTTCTCTACTTTGTAATTGATATTCCTTACAAGTTTTACAATATTCTTCAATGTCTCATGACATGTTCGGCCAATAAAATGAATAACGAATCCTTTCTTTTGTTTTTCTCATCCCTAAATTATTTGCAAAAATAGATTCGTGAGCTAATTTTAAAATTTGTTCCCTTCTAACTTTAGGTACTACCAATTGACTAACTTTTTCTCTAAAAATTCTTTCGGTATGATAAATCAAATCATCCGTTAAAATTTTTTAATTTTTATTTTTTTGTGCGTCTTTATAGATCTTGCATAATGTCTCACATTCCCTCTGCTGTTGTTTAAAAATACTGGCATCTAAATGTTGACCCATTTAATTATCCTCACTTTTGTTTTCACCTTGAATGCAACTTATGACTAAATTTTGCTCTCCTTCCTGTCATAAATAAATCAGCTCGGCTTTCCCCTTCAAATTGTTTTGACAGATGACTCCTCATTTCCAGTGATAGAAACACTGTGTCGCAGTCATGATTCGCGCTAAGCAGATGTGATTCAGAGGTCAATAAATCATAAACATTTGGAGTAATTACACAGGGAATATGAAGTTTTTCTGTTAAAGCTACTAATATTTTGACAGGTTTCAATAAATTAGAGTGGATATAGGAATATCCATTTCTGATGGATATAGGAATTCTAGCCACTTTAGCTGATATGGTTTCTTTGAGTCAATATTACAGTTGTTCTCAATAGAGAAATTTGATATGTGTTTCGGATTTATAACCAAAATCTATCTCGGCACCTGAATCAGTTATGGCTTGGATTTCGTTACCTGCAACACAAATATTTACCTTTTGAATAGTTGCGTAAAAATTTCATTTGACAGGCAGGAAGATCCAATTTTTGCTATTACTTTATCACTAGTATTTTTCTCTGGTGTTTCCTTTTTTAAAGGAGGGTTTAGTGTTACCAATTTGTTTCTTTGTGGACAAGCTTCAGTATAGATGCGTTAATTTTCCACGTATGTAACAGTCTTTGGGTGGATATTTATTTTTATTTATGTTGCTTCTCATATGAGGTGGAATATATTTCAATTCTCTTGAAGAGTGGGATGACTTAACTATGTTTTCGTTAGTGTTAAAAGTGGTTTCGTTTAACGATTTGCCTTTGTTTACAAAATATACGCCAACTTCTTTAGCTAAATCCTTAACCAATTTTCTCCTGTCTTAATATTAATGTAAGTTGCCGGAAATCATTAGTTGACAAAGTGTATCAAAGTCATTAACTTTGCATAATTGACAGTAATACTGGAAATTTGCAGAAAGTCTAGAAGCGAACTTAACATGTGACTCTTTAGGATCGCGTCGTGCTCTTCGGAAATTCATTAAACATTCATAAGCAATTGTCTGATATTCTTTTAATACTATTTTTTAATGGTTTCATAACATTTTAGTTCTTCATCATTAGTGTAAAATAATATATTAGTTGCCTTATGTCCTAAAATGTTAATCAAAATTTCGGATTTAAGCTCCTGTAGTACATTTTTAGTTACGAATGCTCTCTCTAATGTTTGGAAAAACAAATTGAAGTTTTCTGATCTTCTCGGAACAGGAATAGTTAATGTTTTAACACTCTTTATCAAATTTTCTAAATAATTTCCCGAACCTGTAATCATGTCTTTATCTGCGCGAGATCCATCTTTAACTGTGTTCTGACTTCTAACTTTTTCCAATTCTAATTCTTTCTCTAGCTGCGCTAATTTTAATTTCTCGAGTTCAACCATTTGAGCTTCTA